CCGGTGCTACCACTCCAGTCCCACTCACATTTCCGTTTTCAAATATTATCAAGATAAGATGCTAGAGTGCCTTCAGTGGCAGGGCTTGCCCTACAGCCAGGGCACTCCATCGCGTTGTGATCATTTCCTCGAAAAATACGACCCCCCCTAATTCCATCCTCAAATACGACCCCCCCCTCCCCATGCTACCTACCACTTTCCTAGATTTTCCCAACTTCCTACCATTTTTCCCAAAAATTTCCAGTTTTCAGCCAAGACTTTTCCGTCGAGCGGGGGAGGAGGGGGAGGGGAGGATAAACCCAATCTTGAAGAGGAAAATTTCTCAGATTCCCCCCTACCCCAGTTTTTTTCCGAACATTTCCCGAAAAATTTCTGGTTTTTCCCCAAAATTTTGCTGTCGAGCGGGGGGGGGGAGGTCGTCAGGATTTAACTATCATTTTCAACTATCGGAAATAGTAGTTGTATAGATCTTTGGCAGTCCCTCTCTCAACAACGACCAAATACGACCCCCTCCCTCGCGGTCAAATACGACCCCTCCCCCGTTGTTCATCACAACGATGGCGTGCCCTGCCTACAGCACCACATATGCATTCGATTCGTGATTCCAACCCCACCTACGACACCTTACCTACCATTTCACCGGAGTAATTCGATTATTAACACATCTGCCTGTGATGAAAACTGACAAGAACCTATCGTGGCATGAGTCACTGTGCAAACCAATTAGATATTCTAATCAGGGTACATCGCACTATTGTTACCGAATTTTCCGAAATCCTGCCGTCGAGTAGGAGCGGGGGGGAGGGGAGGGAGTGGAGAGATAATGAATTCGGTCAACTATGAGAAGAATGGTTTTGCCGCGCTAGGTGGACAAGGTGGATTATGTGGTCGCTGGCTCGTAGCGATTTGAAACGGGAATACTCAACAGTTAGATGAAATTTTCTTGAAAGGAAGCACGATCCCTATTGACCAAGTGTGGCTCTTCTCTGGGTTTCGCAAGCCAGTGATGTACGCTGACTCCAGCACGGTTTTGTGCGTGGGACGTGCCACGAAGTTCGGTCGGTATCGAGAGCTTGCCTGTTTACCCTTCGGAGAACTATCGCGAAGGTATTTGGAGTTCGGTAGTGAGAAAAAGCAGCTGCAAGAGCAAGGCTGGAAGAACGAAGGCCGATTCGTTGGGCAAAACCCATTACCTCAGCCTCATGAAGATCGGTTTGGTCAGTGTAGTCCCTCAGAAAAAGACCTAGACGGGGTATTTATTTTCGTAAATATTTTCGCGATTCTACACCCATCTCATTATTCGCTATATATCCATGACAAATTTATCGCCTGAAATCCTTACTGGACCACATTTCCCATTGGTAGTAATCATCCGATTTTCGGCGTTTCTAATAGCGCTCGTTATCACCAGGCAGAAAACGACGTGTTGAGGGCTTATTGGCCGTCGTATGCAATATTTGGTTGGTACCTTTGGGCGCGTGGTGGAGTCGATTCCAGTCGAATGACAGATTATAAGTGTCAGGCCGAGTCGTCCATCCATCTCAACGCACATCAATCAATCTACTCGCCCAGCTACCCCTCGTCAGACAAAAACGAGACCGTCGCCTGCAGTTTTCGGTGCAATTCTTGACGAATTCAACGCATCAACAATGCCCAACGATGGGGAGAAATCGCCGAAAAACCGCCTTCAAAACGGAGTTTCCTTCCGATTAATGCAATAGCTGACAGCGACTATAAATAGCACACCCACTCTTCCTCAGCAGAACGGTTACCTATAAGACTGTTCCTTTTGACAAGCCGAGAACGGCGTGTCATCATAGTAAAACCAAAGAACAAGGGAGCCCAAGAACTCCTGCGGACTAATTTGGCTGTTCTGAGACTAGGAAAAGGCAAAAGGTCTCACCTGGTTGAGACTTTCGCGGCTCGAAACGCTTCAGTGATTTCTCCAGCATCAACAGAGGGTTCGTGGGTGGCTTCTTAACGGATGATTCAGCAGTCCACGACAGATCGGTTGGCGCTGGATCTTTGGAACACGATGGGGATAACTCCCCATCATCTTGAGCTGGAGGGGTTGTCGTAGTGGTTGCGGATGGTGTAGCCAAAGTCTCCCTGGCGATCTTCGCAGACGGCTCCATCTCGGCAATTTCGAACTCATCTGGAGTCCTCTTGGTAGGTTTTGCTTGCTTCCGTCGACCCATCGTCAATCAGGGAGTTATCTGAAAGGCGGGTAAAACGTTGAGCGTAATGAGAGCAGAAAACGGAAAAAGGAAGTGATGGAAGAAAGCGCATGTAGAAGAGAAAAGTATGTGGAAATGGGTAATGGGTGTGAGTCGGACGAGACGTTTTGTGGCCCCGCTCGACTCCGCCCATCTCATCCATCAATCACTCCATGTTATGATCACATGCGGCAGCAGCAGATACAAGAGGAGAACATGGCGAGAGAGGACGCTCGCGTCGGAAGGATTGCGACAGCGCCAGCGAAAAACCAACTCATCGTCGAGGTCGACACAACTCGAAGGGCTCTAGCTGACCAACCAAAATGCGATGCGAAGGGTGACGACAGCAGCAATCGCTGCACTGGAGAGGCCCGCGGATTCGCCTTCACCTCACCTTTGCCGAATATTTATGCATTTTTGAAGGTGACGGCCAGGTGGCGGTGAATTGATGGAGCGAGCGGCTCGGAGGCGCCGGAGAGGGCGAAGGCTTCGAGGCAAAACGAAAGCGCTTCATAAATCAATCACTTTGTTATGATCGCGCGCTAGATAGACGACGGCCGTTGCCCCATGTCGAAGTGAATTCTTCGATTGAAGTTGGAGGCGAAATTAGCTGGGTCGCTGCACAAATTTCTGCGTAGGTTGCTCTTGATATTAGCTGAAATGGCCAGTCCGATAGTTTTTTGCCCTCTATAAACGTTTGTTACAACTTTCATCATTAGCTGTTGAGAAATGTTTGCTCGTCCTGGAAAACTGCTTTTGTGTAGCACTTCATTGCATTACGCGCTCTGTTCAACGACAACAAGTGTATGACTAGCGATTAATTCTTCTGACTGGATAATTTCCTTTTTTCCGTACCCAATTCAAGAATGCCCTTCCCATTTTGCATGGGAAACGAGCAAAGAAGGCACTTTGCTCCTGACGCACATTATCAAAGTTTACATATGTCCCGCGAGGTGACAAGGTATATTGCAGACATGTGGTGAATTCCCTTTCATGAATTTTCCTCTACTATCAGGTGCAAGATCCCTTGAGGACCCTACCATTTTTATCACCGTCACGAGAAGGTGAAGATAGTTCATTGACGATGAGCTCAATGATTTCCACAATATTGTGTATGCCTGCAGAAGCTGTTTCCATGGTTAAGGGGTCCTAGGCACGATCCAACTAGCATCACCTGGGCCCAAAATCTCTAAAAAAATTGCTGAAAAAGTGCCTGTAGAGGTTACTCAGTGCCCTGATCACGAGTACTACGTCCGTGTCTGGCGGCGCTGTTGATGCCCTTAAGGTCGGCCGCAATTTGTCCACCTTACTATCTCTTTTCGCATTCGCATAATTCAGACAAAGCCGAGTAATCACGGCCAATTCTTGCTCTGATTTAAACGAATATCTGCACTAGTTACCGCAATTCACTGGTCGCAGTCATGGAATGAGACGCGGTTTCAAGCCCCCCGGCATCAGACACAGTTTTAGAGTCTCGACTTTTTACTCGATGGACATATCTTGGCTCAAAAAGTTGTCTCTTGGATGGCTCACGTAGTTGTGAACTTCTTCCGGAAATACATGTAATATTCATACAGTCCGCCTGCTCGAAATCTTAGCCCCGCGGTCACCGATGAGCGCCGGCGCTGAATATCAGAATCACCAAAATCCCAAACTGTCGATGGGGTTTGTGGTCAGTTGGGTGCTACATGGCTGTGTAATTCCAACCATAAGCCTAGAAGTGAATGTACATTCCTGGTATATTACAGTCTCCTCCGATGTACATTGCAGATCGGGTGGGTTGCGTGCCAGCCGAAGGAGTCGCGCGACTCTTGTTGGGAGCCGTCTCATGCCTTTTTTTGTTGCAAGGCGTTATACGACAAAAAGTGGAAGAAATCGAGTAATCGCTGAAGGAATATACAGTAATGCACCTGTCCCGTCTTCTTGGTGTGCTAGAAAGCGATTTTTGCCGAAGTACCGCACCAAACGCAGTCGCACGCCACACCCCACGGTCCGCAACGAATGAGGACTGTACCATAATGTCTTCTACACCCATGTTATGTTTAGCATTAAATCAGCGCACATTGGCTCCTAATGGCGCCGGAGGACAAATCAAAATTGTTGCGACCTGAACACAGACTAACCCTGGGATTCTCATGCATTGTGAGAAACTCCTAAGAAAATGTCGGTCCTTCCCATGAAGGTGAAGTGGTCCGCACCTACGAAAGCTACGAACCCTTTCACCTCGCACATGGGAATGTGCCTTTTTCCACACTCGAAAATGCATGAAACGGGACTGTAGGGTAGTTATACGAAGATGCATCTCCCGACGTCACCCGCGCCATCCTCAAGCTGCATCACTTGTGTCGATGCTAAAATACTGCACCGAAAACGCAGTTAGAGGAAGAGGACAGGACGCAACAGCGCGGAAAGTAGCACGTATGGCTATGCTTATGCGTGCGGGCAGCCGTGCAACAGTGCGGAGCCAGGAAAGAGCACCCGGGTCTCATCATACTCCAGCCCCTTTCTCGTGCCTTTGGCGGAAGTATTGGCACGCTACTGTATCTGCGGTCTCACTTCGCAAATGGCAAGGACCAGAATCGACCAGGGTAAGTGTACAGCTTGTTTTTAGAGGCATAGTTTAAAACAAGATAAGCATACGCTGTGACGTTCTAAAAATGGATGGAATTTTATGTATGCAGCTGTCTGCCAAAAAGAAAAAAATTAGAAAAAATCGCGGAAAACCAGCGAGATGACGCTCTTAATTTAACAGATTACTTCAGTTACACTCAAAAGAAATATTGAGAACTGAACACTCGGATGAGTTTTGGCAGCTGGTATCATATCAGATACTAACATTCCTTATCACATTGTCATTGCCAGGATTATCGTCATCATGTCTCAGCCGGCGGCATTTAATCACAAGCCTCCATTGCTGCGTCTGACGCATTTACTAGGTGGAGGAGTTGACATCGGAGGTGGAAATGTAATTGGGCATAATCAAGTGGTTTTTGAGCTTTCTATCCGCCACTATATCTCGCTGACATAAGATGAACTGGACCATGCTTGTTAATAGTGGAAAATTGTTTTCTCTTCATGAGACTGGTTTACCTAACCCACGATCCTTCAGTACGAAATCACGTCGAAAGACGAAAAGCTCCCGAATAACGACTTTCATGATCGCTTACGGTCTCCCTGTATCCTCTTGAAGACTGGCCTACCATTGCAGCGATGCTTTACAGAGAGTTTAATCTGTTTCTTGCCGATCGCGGATTACTGTAAAGCAGACCAAGCTGTAGGATTGTGAGGAGCGGTGCGTAAGCTGGGGATCAAATACAGGATCGACTCTCATCAACACCATCTGCGGCTTTAATCCCTCCGGCATGAGTTTGTTGGTACCAGGACTCGCCTATGAGGAGGAAAAGCGCTGCCTTCTTTTTTGACAGCGCTCGCTAGTCGTAGCACAGATCAAACCGAACCGCATTCAAAAGAGACAATTGTGAAATGGGCGCAGCTCGTATTCCCAGGAAGGAGATCAATGTCTTCCATAAATACTGCACTGCGTAGTCTAGCTAAGAACGACTACGCGCTGGCTTTTAGACCAGCGCTTTGCTTTGGCCATAATGAGAGCAATGTACAGGGTAGAGATACAAGAATGATCGGAGTCCAATACCGGTTACCAATGTAATGAATCAATGTTACGAGATTCACATGACACACTCCGTCCTTCAGCCTACATATGTAAGAACACTTATTGAGAAGAAGTCCGGTGACGTTCAAACACTGAAGCGTTGGAATCGAGTTTTGTCACCTTCCATTAAGCTTCAAGAAGGTAACCAACGGATTGAAAGGGACGAATACCTGCTTCGTTCGCTACCTGAGAGGATTGACATTTTTCCAACTGCTTGACAACGAACAAATGAATGTCTCAAAAATGTTGCAATAAGTGAATGTGATTGATAGGATTCACTGGAGGGATGCCAGGAAGCAACCTAAAGTTCCTCATTGTTCTTCAGACAACCTCATGAATTATACCCGAGCAAGAAAAATAGAGGGTTAAAGGAAGGGGTTTTACTGGGAGTGTGCCAAAAGGGATCCTAAAGTCTCAATGCAATTGTCCCAACTGTCATAAAACAGTTATGGACCCTAGTCCTTGAACATTACTCATCACGTAGTGCATGAGAACCACGATAAACCTCGTCAAATCGATCTTAATGACGGCGCTGTTATCGATCTCTTTTCAGGAAAGACGGCAAGGAGTTGAAGGCATTCCACAGTATTTCAATATGTGCTTCAAACTTCAAAGTCAAATTCCCTGATCCCTACAGGAGGTGAAAAGCTGACTCTTCCGTCATTAAGATC